CTGTATGTAATTTAATGCTCTAAATGGCACAGTACGCCAACCGTTTGGGCGCTATCAGTATCGAGGCCGGTGTCAGGGGGCGCGGGGGCGCTGATTGCGCATCTACGCACTCGTATTTACCGAGAACCGCTTCAACGCCGCCGACACCTCTGATCTTACCGAAATGCCACATTCATTGAAGCTATATCAATTAACGACACGGGTAATGAGCACACGGTTATCGCGTGCGCGATTCTGAGAGAACAAAAATTTGAAATTTCACGAGTGCAGCATACATTTGGTTGAGACAGGATACATAAGCGGTCAGTGGACGTGAGCGATGCGAGCTAGCATATTATAATTAGTCGAAGCCGGTGTGAGTAATGGCGTCGGAAATAACACGCGGGCGGTTGGCGCCAAGCAAGCGGCCGCGGCCATCACGCGCGATGCCATCACAATTGCCTGACGGTCCGTTGCTTACCGCCGAAAATGCTCTATGCGCAGCCGCCGCCGCCTCGTCTGTCTTGTGATTGGCGCTATTTATGTGCTGTACTGACGACACCGCACTGATTTATTTAGGAGTTCAGCTCTTGGAAACTGAAAGGTTGCTCTATAATTGTTGTTATTGCAATCACTACGTTGCATTTTACATCGATGCTCCAATAACGACGTCGAAAATCGCAACACAGGGTTAAAGGGTATTAGGGTATTATATAGTTATTAGGGTATTATTGTATAGTTTGTAATGTTGGACGTTGGAGGGTCACGATGTTATAAGACATTATTTCTCAATACGACATTTAATTTACTTAGATACTATGTAACCCACACATTAAGCGTATTCAACGGGAAAAACTAAAAATGTATAATAGTTGCTGTATCATCACTAATAATTAAATACTAAAAACAAATGCTGAAATCTGAAACCCTATGCATCACGGGTATTTGTTATCGCGAGGTGGTATTTATGCACACAGCGACACTCGTTGAGTATGCCGCGGCGATGCTGAAGGGCTTCTTTCATTAAAGTCTGCATTTCCAACTCGTTTAATAAGCTTAACGGGAAATAAGTTTAATCTTATAATACACAGAAGTCTTAGGTATTATTTTCCAGCGCATCCAAAGCAATAATGACAGCATTAGCAGCCATTTGTCTGATAAAAGAAGTAAAGGAAGTAATGGCATGTCCTTTTTCGTAGTGACTCTACGCTTTTTAGTTAGTTACATAGCCATGTGATTAAATAGCAGTAGAGCTTCTTATGACAGCAATGTTCGTCCAGGGAAGTACTGCCACCTTACCAATATATGCTGCTAAGTAGCAATGTGAGCGTTACTGTGTTCCGGCTTTGAACGGTAAGGGTGACTGGTGAAATTATAGGCATATAGGACTTGTCAACCTATGTTTCAAGGTAACGGGCCCGGTGGCAGTGCTCTTTGCGTGTCACTGCAACTGTCATGCACAAGCGGGTCGCTTAACACGGTCCTGTCACTTGGGATCATAAAAAAAATTAACATTTTATTCTTGTAAACTAACACAAAACTGGCATAATGAATATTACTGACAACATTCAAATTTATTGGTGTACCAATTTCTTAAAATTTCGCCGTTCGGAATACCGGAAAGATGCGTTCGTATCGTTTACGTAACTTGTCCGCTGAACACAACATCAAAAAGAACAAACGCTAGAAGCGCATGCCGCGATCAAACAACCCGCAGCTCGAGGAATTTCTGGAAGAGCCAAACAAAGACACCGCAGCTAATTATTTTATGTTTGCGCTAAGGAAATACTCATTCAAAGGGATTTTAATGCCCTTTTGTCGTCACAGGTAGACAAATAAATCCGGAAAGGTTGTTTTAAAGGACCTAACGACTGTTTTGGCTAACTGTTGTTGAACCCTGCTTGATAGAGCTTACGGCTCTGTTAAAAAAAATCTCCAATTACTGTTAGAATATTACATAGGTCGATCGTAAGCATTTTTGTTTTCACTGCACACGCTATATACGCATTTCATATCTATTTAGCGTCATAGCAAATGCTAGACTTAACAGTCCATAACACGAGAGTAGCCAGTGCCAAAAATATCCTTGACATCATAGTGGTGCGATGCCTACGTTGCTTTATGGCCCATCTCGTCCGGCAGGGCGTCGTAAATATCTAACAACTGCGACTGCAGCCAATATGCACTTTCATGGGCTGAGCAGACGCGGACTGAGAAATTTCGATCAGATTATATTCTTTCAAATACCCAGTTTCACCCACTCTATAATATAACGGAAATAGGATCCATCCTATTTCCGTTATATTATAGACTAAGTCTCACTTACGATCTACGTATTAATTAATATAAATTATATCAACGACTTAGGAAACGACTTTCATAGCAATTTCTTCCTATGTGTGTACTGTGTTTTTTTACTAACATTGCATTTTAAATACTTCTTTTGTACGTGTACATGAGCTTTGTGCTTTGCTAAAATATGTTCAAAAATATGGCGAATTAGCCAAGACGTCAAACCACGTCAGAAACCCGGGCAAGTACCAAAATAATTATGTAGGTAGGCCCTACCTAACGCATATTTTTGCCACAAGGCAAAACGAAAATACCCGGTGCAACATGTTTACCTCTCTATAATAAAATTAAAACACGCAAACTATGCGTTTTGAAAACGTACTAATTGCTGTGAATGTATTTGGATTAGTGAAGGCGAGAGCTAAGCCATGATCATGACCGTTTAATTTTGATACAGGAAACATTTCTCAATATTCCTTTCTACAGTAGTTTCAAATTAAAAGAACTTTCGTTAAAAAAATGTTCAAAACTTGTCTACTTTCGATTTCCTTGTATCTCATGTTTTTCTAACGTGACATACGTTGAAATAAAGTTTCTCTAGTTGGTACATAAAACTGAGAAATATACATATAAGTAAATCTATAAAATGAACGACTTCACAGTGCACCGATCCGTGACTGCACGAGCGACTCACCCGCGCCGCATGTATGCAGCACCGGGCGGCCGCCTGGCTGCGCTTTGCCAGACAGCGCGACGCCTGACTCGCCCTATACAAAACCACGCAAAGACGTTTTATTGTCCTTTGCTTACTTCTTAAAAGCTCCAATTCCCTGCGCGGCTATGGTGATGAGTTTTTATGACTTTCACTTCGTCAGTCTATCCGATTTGTTATGTAAACATAATATAAGGCACTTTTTTGGAATTAAAAAAAAGACCTTGCTAAATGCTAAAAAAGTCCTATATAATAATTATTAAGTCGGTATGCATCTCACTGTTGGGTACGGGTCTCCTTTGAGGAGACGGTGTGGGCCATATTCCGTCATAGGTACTTACTTGGCCAATGTGGGTTGCAACTTTGTTGTGACATTGCTTGATCTTTTCCTACACAGTTAGATGGAGGTATTAGTATTATACATATTCACAAATGTACGTGACTCGGAAAATAAAGTCGTAGGTAACATACATGCCGCCGCGCCGCCTGTAGGGATTCCAACACTCGACCCTGTCAGTTGAGAAACAATCGCTCTCGCTCTTGACTACCATCGCTGAAACGCGCAAACTATTTCATACACATAAGTTCCGTATGTATTGTTTATTTAAACATTAAAGTATGTACCACTAGTGTTGAGTCAATATGCAAGTCATGTTTATTATTTTTTACATCAAATCTATCAGGAACTTAAACATTTTTATGGATGTAAATAAAATGAAAGAAGAGAAGAAAATTTTTTAAGCGGACATTTGAAGACCGTCTGTGAAGACTTGACATCCGAAGCATTTACGTGCATGTAGACCTACTTACATTACAAAGTCAATATGCCGAGAGTTGATAGACTTATCATGACTTCACACCACCAGACATCCATTTTTATTTTATTCGCACGTCTACGCGTCTGTATAAAATTTGAACAAGGCAACGCTACCACCAAGTATTTGCATGGTTTTATTGATAGGTAAATTATAATTGTTCGTATTTTTTTTTAATAATTAAACAAATGTAATTTGTAATAGTTTCATTTTATAACAATTACCCTTTGAATATATACAACACCATTACCACGTTTCCGTCTCTCTGTGTAGAATGTAATGGTTATTTAATAGCTTCATTTTAATCTTGTTAAGACATTATATTTATAAATGTTGTTGTAAATAAGATTTGCATTTTTAAGTGCACTCTTTCGTAATCGTTTGGTCTGATGTTGGTTGATCAATATTTAAGTAATTTTGCAATGATATCAACGATTAATGCCAAGACATTCGCAGAAGGTAGGTGCTTTGTTCTTCATTCTCGTCGAATTGGAACGTCGTTTTGCTGTTAGTATAGTTAATTATCGGGAATGTTTATTGTTATGTTACCCTTAAAAAATAAAGGTGTAGACTTGGTACAGTACACTAGCGCGCTATCAAATTGTTACTATTGCTACCTTCGCTACAATGCTGCGATTGTTGAATTAGTTAAATACTTAAAACATTATAAAATGATTAATTATCGATTGCTTAATAATAAGCAATGCTTAATTAGCAGATATTATGTTGCCACTGACTGAAGCACATTTTTGGGTATAATTTTCATGTATAATGAAAATTATACCCAATACAAAACAGTAAACATTGATTCTTACTTAGATGCTTTTATAAAAGATTTTGCAATATATTTTGGTTTATAATAGTTTTCCCCTATAGTACGCATTACTCGGTTGAAAACAAGAATTTTTGTAGTTTCTAATTATATAATAATTATAATTCTAAAAATGTAATTTACATCTTTCTCATTTAAAAATTAGGTTTTTATTTCAATTTATGAGCTTAACATGTAGGTTTTCTTATATATAAGAATGTATGTACAAATATACTAGTTAGACCGAGTTCAATTTTATAAGCGATTTCATGAGAATGAAGTAGTAGTGTCAGGTAGTTTCTTTGGGGGCGGGTGGCGCCGGCGCTACCTGCCCCACAACGGACCCGTAAAAAACCATAAATTAAAATGCGATTTAATAAACAACTCTCTTTATTATAATAATAATAAATCGTTATAATATTCATTCTCCATATGCTTGCTTCATAAACCCCACATATAAAAATACAATCTTATATTTTATACACAAAAATAAGCTATCATCTAGATGATGGCATAATGCACTATGGCGACGTGTACAATAAGGCACGATGATGGAGGGCTACGCCCCGGGCGGCGCCAGCCAGGCGTCAGCGACTAGATCACAGTAGTTTCGGGGCTGAGCCCCTGAGGCATGCTCTCATCTGAGAGGAGCTGGAAAGGAGGGCATAGGTGCGCACCAACGTGGTGCGGGGCATGCGGCCAACGCGCATCCGGCCGCGCTCTGCACTGGCACGAACGCGGACACGTGCACGCCGCTGGTTACCGGCAGCGACGCTACCGCTGGTCGCTTGTCTTCTTCGTCTTCATCCAGATATGGTCGGAATAGTTTGAACGGTTTTCTTGGTGTTTCTGGCACAGTAGGATATACGTGATTTGGTTGTGGTGCTGGTGGTGGTGACGGTCTGCGTACCGATAAGTCTATAGGCACATCAATGGGCAGCGCTACAGGCATAGGCACTGGTATCGGCGTAGGCACCTGTAGTGGCGTGGGCACTTGTACGGGTGTTGGCACTTGCACTAGCGTGGGAAGCGCTGCAGGTGGTGGTGACGGCAGACGGGCACTTTCCGGAGAACCAGCTGCGTATGGCGGAGGTGATGGCGCTGGTTGTGGAGCTCTCCTCAGCAGAGCGGCTCGCAGTGAGGGCTCAGCTTGAAGCCACTTCTGAATCTGTCGTCTGTGGATTCCAAACTTTCTGGCAGTAGCTCGTTGATTACCGCGACATTGGGCATCTCGTCTGTATGCTTCAAGTACTTGCAACTTAAATTGTGGTGGGAAAATGCGTCGGGAACCGGCACGTCCCTCAGGGCGGCGGTCAGAGGGCACAGTAGCCGAGTGTGTGTGGGCGGCAGCCATTTTTTGATCAAACGTGTGCGCGTGGCGAGTGTCGGCGCCGAACTGACTGTCTGTCGCTCGCTCGCCGCTCGGCAAGGCGCGGATGTTGGCGGCGGGCTTGCTGCTCGAAGCGCGTACCACCCGAACGTGAGCGCGCGACGCGCGGGTCTTATGTGCTCATAAAGACTATTTCACAATAAATTATATTGTACTTTTGCATAACATTTCCTAAGTCCTGTTTGGTTTGATTTGAACTAACTGTATTTTGTCTAGGTTACTAATTTTGTAAAAAAACAAGTAAACAGAGACTGACTACATGAAAAAAGTATTTATCAGATACGATGGATAGTCGGCGGCGACGGGAGCTCACATAATATACATTATACTCTGCAAATTGTATTCAATTTGTAGCTAACAAACTGTTAGTTTGTGGCAGCGTGACTGCATTAAATCTACTAACTTACTTAATAATGATCATTCATTTTCCACTTGACAGAGTGGAAAACGCTTTTTCTAAATAGATGAACAAAAAGTAGAGTAATTCGTAATTAAAACATATTTTTCTATAATAAGTTATACTCGTCTATCTTATAACATTGTAAAGGAAATTGCATATATTTTATATTTTTAGGATAAAAAAAACGAAACTTATTTTATCAAATGTGAACACTGCCTATATTAGTAATCTCGCCTCATTCTCGACGTGAAAAAATGCCGCAAGTGGGAGCCGATAGCACATAGCGCCACCGTTGCTATCCTATTTCCTCACTTGGATATCCGCATGATAGAAAAGGATAGATATACCGCCCTGCCCGGTCGCTGCCACATCCGTTTACGAAACAAGTTTGCATGCGACGTTGTCGCTCAGTGCGCGCGGGTGGCTCATGAGCGTTGGAGGGGGGTGCGGGCGGACAAGAATGTGCACGGAACGGCAACAGCGCCGACCGCGGCAGACAGGGTGTCGCCGGCTCGCCGCCGCGAGACAGGCCGTCGCTCGGCGGCGCTAGCCCCCTCTAAGCCCGCGCACCCCCGTACCGCCCGCAACGCACATCAACAAGTTATTTCGGCTGAACCATCCGCGTAGCCAAAAGATTTAAAGTGAGTTCCGTTTACGGGCGCTTATTACGTTTTGGAACGTGTCAATCGCTTAGCGCCATCGCCCGTTTCGAGGAAAGTTGTTTTTTTGTGTGAGCGACGGCCGCCTGCCGTGCCAGCCTCGCGTCCGACGACCGTGAAAACGACACGGCGCGGCGATCTGACTCTGCACGTTTTATAATATCCATTTAGTTATAATATAGGACATTTTCATTTTTAAATGTAGCGCTAAACATGTGAAAGTACAATCAAGAGCACATCAAGCTTGACTCTTTGGACCATTCTCTGTCGTAAATGGCATAGAATTGAATTTAAATCATAAGTATCAAGCTTGACGTGCTCTAAACCCTGTACAATTAAAATAGGTAGGTATTTATAATTTGCCAAGCAATACGTATAGCGTAGTAATAAATATATTTTATTAAAGCTGATTGACATTGATACTATCACTGGTAAAGTAGGTATTGGCATAGTGTAAATTATAAAATTTAAATGTCAGTCTAACGCCAGCGTGCTAGCGTGCTGAGAATGGAGCGGTTGCCTATTTTTCGTGGCAGTGACCACCGATGATAGGCTGTGCCAGCATGACTGGGTAGCTTTGCTACAAAAACATTTCGGTTCAGTCAATGGTGCGAAATAATACACCACTCGCGGGACTGGGACTGGGAATGTAAAGTTTAATCATCATATTATAATGCAGCAGGAATTTTTGTGTAGGTAATATTTGTTCGAAACAATATAATAATCACGCATCTGTCGCGTGACTAAGCGCCCAGTTACGCGAGGAGAAAGTTTTCGCGCGGCCGCCGCGCGGCGACCACTCAGTTACCACACCTTCATGTACATTAATGGCGAATCTGAATTCTATTTAAATTCCTCTGCAGAAATCTACGGCGCGGTCGCCGCCCGGTCGCCGCGCGGGCCGCCACGGAGGCCGCTCGGTGACCGCGCAGGTCGCCGCGTAAATCAAATTCAAACCAGTCTCGTCCGCGTGTCCGGAACGCTCATTTAACTTAAAACGAAAAAGCTAAACAAATACAGCGTATCGAGTTCTTAGGATTTCGCGATTGTTACACATAGGAAATGAAACTATTTTTCCTGATTTAAATCGATTTCTCAGTTCCTGAGACCCGTGAAATGTAACATCCCCTTACAGGATGCAGGAGTTTACAAGCTTGACTGTGAGTGCGGTCTCTCTTATATTGGACAAACAAAGCGAAGTATTTGTACCCGCGTCAAAGAACATATAGCTGATGTCAAACACCGTCGCGTAAACAAGTCTGCAGTCTGCGAGCATGTCATGGATAAACCTACACATTCAATGAAGTTTGACAAACCCTAGGTCCTTGCAAAAGAAGTCCGTTATCTACCCAGGATGCTGCGAGAGGCCATTGAAATTAAAAAACATCCTAATTCATCAAACAAACAACATCAACAAAACACAAAAAACATCAACAGGGAAGATGGTTTCTCCGTACCACCAGTTTGGGATCCAGTATTTCCTCTAATGAAAAATCCCAAACAGACATAAGACTGCAGTACTAATTAATATGTTTTAGTTTATTCCAATTTCTACTAATAATTAATAATAAATTAAACTTAATGTTTAAATTAAACTATACATATGTATGTAAACTATATATATGTAAAAATTAAACTTAATTAAACGTGACCATGGGACCTGTAAAGGGCCCGAAACGTCGGTTTGTTTTAAAAAACAAATATACGCGATTTAAATCCGGAAAAATAGTTTCATTTCCTAAATACAGCGTATTTTGCCATTACAGTTAGACGCACGCGGCCGCTGCGCGGCGGCAACACGGACTTCGCTCTTCGACCGCGCGGCGGCCGCGCGGGGGGTGAGCGCGACGAAATTCGTGTCTATATAATATAAATGCGCCCTTACGCTACATTTTTATGACGGTATCGGTTTACAAGTGGTTAACAAAACATTCCAAACATTTCTTAAATTGTCGGCGTTTTTAAAGAAGTTAATTTGAAGACACGATAGTTAGAATGAATTTATGATTCACTGTGTGTAAACGTGAAGCTCTATTGTCTGCGGCATAATGTGCCAATCACTCGATCGACGTAAATTAATCATCATTTCAAGTTAAGTTTCACCGAGAATTAGGTGTGGTTTTTCAAGTATTTTAATTTGGTAACAATGTGACGAGTTTGACGAACCATCTAACTGATTTTCGTTTTCCGCGAAACACCAGAGGATAATATAGTTTAAGGTTGCTTCTTTCTTTATGTACTCAGAGACTTCTATCACGTGAATTTTGTTCTCATGCGATGCGTGCGAGTCATTTATGTGTTCTACCTACATCATTATTAATTGATACTCATCTAATTATGTTTATAATGTCGCAAATTGCAAATATTGAAATTTGACGACACTTAAAAATCTGCCACTAAGTATATAAAAAAATAAAGAAATACGTACATATGTACTACATTGTCAGTATTTCAAGAACTGAGCAGCTATGACATAAACTCAGGACTTATCCATGAATGCCATCAAGTACTCACGGAGATGTATACACAACCACGTAACTCAGTAGATCAAAGGACAAAGCAGCTCACGTCATGTGGCTATGACGCAGCAGGTGAACTGGCCAGAAAAGGGTCCGAGATGGACGCTGTAGGACCAGAACCTATTGTATTTCCTCCCCTACCACTACAATGGTCAAGAGCAAATATACACAAAGGTACAAAAACTATTCATAATGGCACTTGGACAAACCGTACGGTTTGTAGACAGGCTAGGGAAGCACTCCTCATCTCATAGCCGAACGGTTACCTTACTGGACTGCCATGCAGGTGTCCCGGGTTCGGTTCCCGGGCCGGGAGATATATTTGTATGGCCTACATTTATTTCTCTCGTGAGTTGGGGAGTAATTTGTGGTTGTCTATGTGCGTGTCCATGGCACCCGCGATACAGATATTCCCTAGTACCTACCATCGGGGATAGTATAATTACGCGTAACTAGCATTGGATAGTTCCGAATATCGGACACATATGGCTAATTTGAGTTTTGCTAGCGCACGGAGTTATGTCATATAATAGTGACTCACCTTCTTAACGCCAGTTGCGATTGATACAGCTGATCTGTCGTCAGGTGCAGAGGTAGGAGTTGATTAAAACCCAATCTGCCAGGGTTTTATTAACTTTTTATCCAAAGCGCCCGGTTTTAACCCTTTTCTACCCAAAATCGTGGCGGAAACCATTATACGCGATAAATAATAATTTATTAATGTCTGTAGAGTTATGTTAATCATAATAGTTAGGAAATATTCGAAAATGTTTAAGCGTGTTTGTGTTGCAGCCAAAGCAATGTTTATAAATAATAAAATAAAAAGCAGCGCGAATGTAGTAAAAACAACTTGGAATATTATAAACAGCGTAACTGGTAGGGTCAAACCTCGTAACTTAGATTTTCAACTAAGATTTAATGACAAAATTGTAAACACAGACGCAGAAGTTGCTAAAATATTTGAAAATTTTTTTACTGACATTCCAATTATGACTACTAAGTCGTTAAATTCATCTCCCACCGCCGCTGAATCCTTACTAAAAGAAAATAATGCAGCTAATATCACTAATTTAAGGTTCCGTCATGTATTTCCAAACGATATTGTTAAAGCCTTTAAGTCTATAAACATAAAAAATACTGCTGATCTTGATGGTTTTTCAGTCAGGCAACTTATTTAGCCTGTGTCTTTAATAAATGTGTTGATGATGGTGTCTTTCCTGACTTCATGAAGCAAAGTAAAGTTATTCCACTTTTCAAATCTGGTAGTATTTCTGACCCCACCAATTTCAGACCTATATCAATACTGCCAACTCTCAGTAAAATATTTGAAAAAATTATTCTAAATCAGATGTGTGCACATTTTTATAGTAATAACTTAATGTCTCCTAAATAATTTGGTTTCACTCGGGGTCGCTCTACAACCGACGCTGGTGTCGAGTTGATTAATCATATATTTGATGCATGGGAAGTCTCACATGATGCTATTGGTGTATTCTGTGA